AACGGCTACACAGGGATGTCAGGAACGTGTCACCTACGTATACTAGCACCGCCGCCGACGCCACCGCTGCCGCTCTGGCTCTGGCTCTGGCTCGTTGTTGGCGGTGCTGCGGTGGTGGGTGTGCGATAAGCGAGAAACGAGGCTCTGCCGCTGCTGCTGCTGGCTTCGCCCGCGCGCTTATGTACGTGTATGTGTTGGCGTCTGTGTGTGCACGCGCGAACACAAGAGGGGAGTTGTATGTATATATGCGGCAGCAACAGCAGCAGCAACGACGACGACGGGCGATAAGAGCCCCGTAGCAGTGATGCGATGTTGCCAGAGCTCCGAATTCGGCTTTTCTCTCTCTCTCTCTCTCTCTCTCCTGTTGTATGTATAGCAGCTTGGCTCTTCGCTTGCGGCCATATAGCACACACACTGCGCTCGGCTCAACAGCAGCAGCAGCAGCTTCGCGTTTCGCAAGCCTTTACATACTTCGTCGGCTCGTTTTTGTTGCCGTTGCATTCTCTAACTCGACGAGTACGTACGAGTCTTTGCAGGCGCGCTAATAAACGCGCGACACGTTCGTCGATTAATACGAGTAGTATACACATATTGGCACTACGAGCCTTTTTCATCGTATATCAACGATCCAACCGCAATCGGTGAATTCTTTGATTCGTATGTACGCTATGTACCGGGGCGAAATGCCAGCTGGATTTTATTCGCGAGATGTGGGAAGAATCAATGAAATAATAATTGAAAAAGCTTCGCGTCGATGGTATTTCGAGAGCGAGCTTGCAGCGCTTTGAACGAAACAAAAAAATGCGAAAAATGCAACCGCACACACAAGCGACCTATGATCCCCTCTCCACCTCGCGTATCATGTAATAAGTTTTATCACTCGCGCAGCAGTTATAACTACTACTACTATTACTATCACCTACAACTCGCGTCTGAAAAGCCATGCTTTTTGCTCTCTTTATCTTTTCCTTTTTTCCCCTCGCTCTCTGTTATTCTTTTTTTTTCTTTGCAAACTTCGAAGTCGCGCGAGCGCGTTGATATAGCAGCAACAGCAGCAACAGTACATTTGGTCGACTTTTTTTTGTCGTTGCTGCTGCTCTCGTCGACGTGCGCACACGGTTCTCGTTTCTCTCTCTCTCTCTCTCTCTCTCTCTCTCTCTCTGTGTCTTTCTCTTTCGTACCTCGCTCGTGTATACATCTACGTTTACGATGCATGCGAGCGTTGTGCGCGAGCGATTCACGAAGAGTCGTGAACTGCACAGCGAAAAAATGTTTTGCGACCGCGTGCGAGCACGCGTATAATATGTACGTCACAGCGTTGTGTACGAGGTAAAAAATTTATTGTAAATTTTTCTTCTTCGTATCTGCTTACACAACAATCACGCGCGCTACAGCGAAAAGAGAAAAATTTGGGAAAACGAAGATGTACAATGGCTGCGAGATATATATTTGTCTATAACAGTCACGTCTATGCGATATCTCGTTTGCTTTATCGCCCGAAAATCTTCTTCGCCGCGACAGGAATTGCGAGAGGCCATATAGGGCTTATCAAACCGAGTCGCGGCAGCGGTCCCTCTACTGCTCGCCGATAAACTCGTCGAGCGCAAAAAACGCGTCGAGAAAGAAACGTTAAACAGAGCGTTAAAAGGCACGAACGAGAGCTGCCGAGGCAAAGTAAAGAAGAAGAAGGGACCACCGATCGAAAGAGACGACGACGAGCGACGAGCGTGCCCGTGAGGTATGCTGTATATAGCCTTCTTCTCGTGCACCTCTACAATACGGGTGATAACGGTACACCGACCCGAAAAATAGCAGCGCGAGGCTTTATTTCGGGGCCTGGCCTCCTCCTCTCGCTCTCCGAACTCGAATGTGCGCATTAAGCGTGTATATACTCATGCGGCTCTCGCAGTATTTTCGCGTATTATGATAAAAGAGGGAAGATCATCGTCGAGCAGCTGCAGAGCTCCAGAGGCACGATATAAAAATCCGTTGTTGCTGCAGCAGAGTCGCGTGCGTTCTCTTATACGCGGCAGCGTTGACTGAAAAACAGCAACAGCTGCGACCGAGAAACCAAGTGACCTGCGCGAGGCTGCCGGTGTGCTCCACTGTAGCTAGAGCTATATAGCTTATAGCTAGCTGGTGAAACTGTATAGAGTGAATTTGCCACTACTATAAACTAGTAAAGCGCACCACCACCACCGCCGCTACGACTGCTACTACTTTGAGTGGTATAACACCGGCCCGTATACACACAAACTCTCTCTCTCTCTCTCTCTCTCTTTTGCGCTTTATAACTGAGGCGGCACAGTACACGATCGAGCTCGCGCGGGGCCACCAACGCCACGGCTCTCGCGGAGATCGGTTATATAGGTATAAGACACACACACACACGTTTGAAGTTAACGGCGTTTATCTTCGCGCGCGAGCTCGCGGACTCCTTCTCTCTCAATCTCTTTTCACCCGATGCATGTGTGCGGCACCGTGCGCAGAGGATAGACTACCGTTTCTGGCCCCTCTTGTGCGATATGTACTGTATAATATGAGTAAGCAGTAATATACAGGCAGGACGCGACGAAAATTGTTTCAACAAACGCGCGTGTGTGCGTGCATCAGGCAGTTGGCGTATAGAAAGACAGCACGGAGAAACAAGCTTTAAAATCGAAGCTTTGGTCCGGGACAAAATTGAATTTGGTCTAACGCAGTCGTAAAAATGTCTACGTAATTCGTCGCTACCGACAGAAAGAGGTATAACGACGAGTGGCAATAAAATAATAAGCAACTGTAACCGTGTTCTTGAGATTGCACAATAGATAAGTATTAACTAACGATCGTGGCTTTATCGTTGTTCGAAGAAATTAACAAAAAAAAAGACAGTCGTCACTCGTCGCTCGGATGTATATTTTCTACGCAACCGCTGATTCGAGTTTATAACGCTACACAGAAGATATAGCCGCAGCTATATAAAGTTCGCTCGGAAAAAGGGCGAGTGTTTGCTGTACACATCCCCAAACCGATCTGGATACAATTTTAACGTTGCAAATATTGGCGGAATATTCAAGTTTTCTTTTTTGGGGGGAGCTCCACGGTCCCTCTCTCTCTCCTCCCGCCTACTGCCGATGGAGTGACCCGTTAAGCCGCTCGACGATACGCTTGCACACGAAGTATGGTATATGGAGCGCTTGCGGGGCACACGTAAATACTTCATCACCGGTCGTCGGACGAAGTAAAGTTACAGACCGAATGATGAGAAAATGAAGTTCGATCGAGATTCGAGAAAAGAGAGATGCCTCTCGAGATATGGTATTAACGGCGTTTGCTTTCTCTTTCTCTCTCTCTCTCTATCTCCCCTTCGTCCTGTGACTACCTAGAACCAATGGCGAAATGTGTACGTAACTATCATTTGATTATAGCTGTTAAAGCAGTACACGTCTTCAGTCTGTTTTAATTTTACTTCAAAAAAAAACTTCGTTCGATTTCTCTCTATTTTTTCATTCCACCGGTCATGCTGCTCCCTGATTTATTCTTGCTTTTTTCTTTCACTTCCACCCGCGTGCGGCATATTTTGAAACGCGTTATATAGAGAGGACACTCGTGGTAGAGAAAAGGCAAATTGCTTTGTGCGCGCCGGGAGCCCCCCGAGCCGCCGCGACTGTATGCAGGTATACGAGCAACAATGAAGAACCGCAAGCACGAGCGTTTTGAACTGTAAATTCCTTCTCTCTCTCTCTCTCTCTCTCTCTCTCTCTCTCGACACACATGCATATATGTATGTATGTGTGTGCATATTCTTATATTATGTACTTGTGTGTGTGTGTGTGTGTGTGTGTACGTGTGCGACTTTACCAAGTGTACACTTTAATGCTTGACTTCACAGGGCGGTCGTGTGACATTTTCTCGCGTCGCGCGTGGATAGAAATAGACACATTATAATATTTGCGAATATCATTATAATACAGTTGGGATATGTATAGGCGCATAATTAGATACTAGACGTTAACGAATTTATCGAGCTTACATTATCACGACACGAAGTGTCTATATATATATATATATGTTAGAAGTAAGGAAGGGCGCGCGAGCCGCCTTGAAGAAAGAGAGAACATCGGTTTATTATGAGAAAAGCAACGCATCCAGCAGCATTATCGCGAGATATATAATTAAAGAGCCTTGCCAAGGCTCGAGCTCGGCGAGAGAAGGTAAAAAGATGTAGCACGTGCGGCTAATCAGCGCCCGCATCGACTTGTGTGTGCCCCACGTGTATGTGTGTGCGAGCACATAATACGACGCGCGCTCGATACGCGACTTGGCGTGTGTACCGTACTTACATGTATATTATAGAAGAAGATGCAAGAAGGAGCGAGTTCATAAGGATACAGAGAGTGTGTGTGTGTGTGGATGATGTATACAAGTATCGCCTAGGCGTATTATATTATGCATTTGATTCGCGCGTACAGAGTATAGAGAAGGAGAGAAGTAGTGAGAGAGAGAACGCGCGCCATGCGAATAGGTATAGGTTCGATATACGTTTTGTATACATACATGCGCACGTGTGCTGCACTTTTGCTGCTGCAGCTGCACATTTATTCGACGTCCTTGGTAGCCAGCGCGCGTACAATGTAGCACCGGACACGCAATGTACATACGTATACGTACGAATACAATTATACACATATAGGTGTGCTTTTCTGCTGCATCTACGCCTGTACATACACGTACTGGTTTTTTTTTTGTTCATCTCGTTGCGATACATCATTACTATATTTTGTTTCGGTGAAAAACAGGTATAGAGAGTATATGCCGTAGTCGTGTCGTTATATATGTGTATATATGCGTATATGTGTGGATTTTCTTTTCTTTTTTTTTTTTTTTTTTTTTTNTTTTTTTTTTTTTTTTTTTTTTTTTTTTTTTTTTTGGCAATTTTTACTGCGATACACCATGATTATATAAAAAATACCCTAAATCGATCGTGAATAAATGGGCTTCGATATAAGCTCTCTTACCAGTAATCCGGTTTCGACGCTCGGTAACAGTGTCAATCTGCTGCCGTCCTGCAGCCTGTTCTCTTCCAGCGATCCGTCCCTCAATTGCCTGTAACAATAAACGATAACAATCAATAAAAATCAATATTCTGGATAATATTGTCGTGTGTGCGTTAATTATATCATTCTCGGGATAGAACGAGAAAGTTTAAATAACATCGCTATTTTAAAGGAGAATTACTGGTTAATTTTAACTTGGAAAATTCAAATTATAAATTACGATCCATTTAGAATGAAATATAAGGTATACACGAATCTTGGAATTCGTGCTTTGCAGAGAGGTCCTCGCCAATAACAAGAAAAGACACTTTTCGTGTATACAACAAACCCTAGTACGTCAAGATCGATTATTTATTGGGTGAGATGATTTTTTTTTTTATAATATTATTACAGTCATGCTACAACGAGAAATCGTGATCCACGCAAGAATCCGTCGAAGAGGAGGAATTGGAAAAATTTTCCATTGTTGCCGCGTCGTCGATGTAATGCCTGCATCTCCGCCAAATCACGCGAGAGCTTCCTCGAAAAGAGTATATAGCTCCGATGTTTATTTTTATGGTATAAAAAAGATATGAGTCGCGGCGTTACTTGCACAGGGGATCGGGCAATTTGAAAGCAATTATAAAAGAAGGTAAATTTTTCGTTGATTTCGTGATTACGCCTCTTTGTTTTATTATATGACTTCGTTAGAGCGAGTCGGAGGTGTGTAGCAGCGCAGCGCAGCACAGCTCCTCTCTTTATTTGCGATATCGCTTTTATATCATATATATGAGCAATTCCGGAATTTAGTTTCCAATTTTTCGACTAAAAACGGAAAAAAAATTTTTTCGTTGGACGCATACTATGAACATTGGGTATTGTTCTTAAAGGTCCTAGGAAGCTAAAAAAATGCGTGAACATGAAATTTAAAGATAGGTAATTTTTTTCTGGCTACTTTTGTGTTTTAAGGCCCGAAAAGTCATGTTTTCGCGTAAATACGAAAATTCACTCAATTTCTAAGTGGCTGAAAAAATATTAAAACTCATTTAAAAAAAGTGACTGACCACTCCATTCGATAGGAAATTTTCTTAGCTTCCCGATGGTGATATCAGATTTTTCGATACATTGCATATTCTCCGAGAAAATCATCACAAAACTTGCCAAGCTAAATATCTGGAAAAAATCAGTACGGAAAAATAGCTTTTTATGGTTTCTTTTTGATTTTTTCTGGTGAAAATTGAATAATTTGGAAAATCTGATACTGCCATGAAAAAGCTGAGGAAAAATCCAATCGAAGCCATATCTTCATTTATTTTTTCCGTCGAATTATGAACGAGTTTTGATTGTAGCGAGCCGCGCAACGCTGAAAACTTCGCGATCACGATTAAAACAGTTCCGTAACAGAAAACAGCGAATACAGTAAAAGAAATTGGCTTGTATATCATTATAATTCGACGGAAAAAATAAATGAAAATATGGCTTCGATTGTATTTTTCATCCGATTTTTCGTAGTAGTATCAGATTTTTCGAAATATTCAATTTTCATGAGAAAAAATCAAAAATAAACCAAAAAGTTCACTTTTTTCGTACTGAATTTTTCGAGATATTTAGCTCGGCATATTTGGTGATGATTTTCTCGGTGAATATGCAATGTATCGAAAAATCTGAAATCACAACCGTAAAGCTGAGATAATTTCCTATCGAATGGAGTAGTCAGTCACTTTTTTTAAATGTGTTTTGATACTTTTTCAGCCACTTAGAAATTGAGTGAATTTTCGTATTTACGCGAAAACATGACTTTTCGGGCCCTAAAATACAAAAGTAGCCAGAAAAAATTAATTACCTATGCTTAAATTTCATGTTCACGCATTTCTTTAGCTTCCTTGGACCTTCAAGAACAATACCCAGGGTTCATAGTATGCGTCCAACGAAAAAAATTTTTTTCCGTTTTTAGTCAAAAAATTCGAAACTAAATTCCGGAATTGCTCATATATAAACTCGTGGCGTGGTGCAGGGGCACGAAACTACCTTCATGCGCTTAAAGTGGACTCCACTATATAGCGGGAGCCTATATATCTGCTGACGGGAAACCACAAATGCTATATAGATATATACTGTGTATATGTGCACGTCCACATAGCAAGAGGGGGTCAGTCAACCCGTTAACTGCTGACTGCACTAAACTGCTGTGTGTATATGCTGCTGCTTTCGAGTGCACACTAACATTCGCATATACATCTAAATATAATACACACACAGACACACGTACACACTACACACGAAGGGAAACCTTAAATTATTATGGCGACGTATCTTTCTCTCTGGTCGAAGGATTGCCTGCGAGCGGCAGCGAGTCTCGATCCTGCCCTCTTCGACGATGGCGATGACCGCGACGACGACGACTCCTTTCTTCTTTTTCATCGACGCCTTCGTCGTCCTTTTTTAATACATCATTTTGAACAAGTTAAAAATTCCTCTCGTCCACATTTGCGTCTCGCGCTTACAAAGGTATTATAATGGTCAGTCGGATTCGGGAACGGTTCAATTTTTCTTTCCCGATGTTTCAACAATACGCACGATACAAGTATATAGAGAAGGTCCGCACGCACGCCTCGGCTATATAATGCTCATGGCATAAAGAAAAATTACTCATAACGACTGTATACAGATTATCAACGAACGCACGTAACGCAACGAGACACGCGCCGAAAAAAAAGGAAGGTTTTGGCATCCGCTCGCTCGGCTCGAGTGTGTGTATATATACAATAAATACGTATAATACATGCCGCAGCGCAGTCTTTTATAACAGGCAAGTAATTAGCATAAATTTAGAAGTTTCTATCGGAGAAGCAGTCGAGAATATAAGAGAACGATAAAATCTCGATGCTCGTTACATTCGACGAAATATAGACGGTGGACAACATTAAGATCCAATAGTTAATGCTAACTGCGCGATTCGAATGTTTGTGCACACCTGGAGAACGAGAGACCGATTTAATGCAAATGTAATGGTCCTTCGTGTATCCACGAATACATAAACAAACGCGAAAACAAACAAACAAACAACAAAACGACGTCTTTCAATAATAACGTATGCGAAAAAAGCCCAAAGCCTTATCGATACACGGCTATCAGTCTGCAATTACGATTATATTTTTTTTTTTTTTCGAGGATGGAAGGGGAGCGAGTCGCTGCTGCTGCTGCTCATAATCAATGTCTCCACATTTCATTAGTGCAATATAGAAAAGAGGAAAAAAAACGAACAGCAAATGTAAATTTTCCGTTACTCCGGTTAAAGTATAATTAAGATCGGCGCGTTCGATGCGCGGCACAAATATAACGTGCGTACGTATATATGCAAAAGCGCGCGTCCTCTCATTTATATATTTTGTAATTGAGAGCGTTATTTGAATGACAATGGAGGGACTCTAGCGCCGCCGCTGCTAACTGCGTAAATTTTGCGCACTCGCTCGCACGTTGTTTAAAAATCATAAAGAGAGTCGTTTTTTTTTTGTCGTATCGCGCACAAATTTGCATCACACGCGTGTTTTTGCATTAAAAAAGAAAATATTTAGAGCGTGCTGCTCGCGCACAGCTCGATAAGACTTTTATTTCATCGGAATAAAGGAAAAGCGGCCACCGTGTACGCGTGGGCAGCTTTCGAACCGTTTGACGTTGCGATGCGTGCGTAGTGCCGTGGAATGAAAAGAATTAAATATAGATTTTTGCGTGCGACACGTGTATTTTACATATCGTATATGTATACAAGCGGGTGCGCGATAGTCGTCGCGGAGAGAGATACGAATTTTATAAATAAAACGCCTGCGCCGTTCGGACCTTGGGCGCTGCCGCCGCTGCTGCTGCGCCGTGTTTTTATTTATCTTTCAACTTCGCGATTTGTATGTGACCCGCAAAGTCGCGAGCGAGCGATCGCTAGCTATAACTACTACTTTAACGCCGAGGAGACGTCAAAAGTGAGCGAGTTATTTATCAAGAGAAAACAGGTTACTTGGATTAAATGAAAAAAGAGTCGTGTTTTTTTTTCATTTTTATTATTTTTATTCCAACGTTTGAGCTCTCTCTCCCTTTTCTCCGGGAGAGAGCCGTGTTTAATCTAATCGAGTTCAAGTTCAATTATTTAGCACACCGTACCACCGCCGCCACGCTGCTACACGCATATATTATTACTTATATTTACGATCGATCGCGAAAAATTACGTCAGACGCGCGCGAGAGAGCTTTTAATATACGGAGGTGTAGCGGCGCAGCAAATGTACTCTCGCGTATCGACGAATGTTTATAATGTTACATACGCGCGTAAGTAAGCGTGTGGTGGGTACGTATTTATCCGCGAGAGTGTCGAGGAGCGATAAAGAATACGTCGACGGCTGCAATATTCGCGACGGTGAATCACACGTGTAACAAAGCGAAACACGAAGCGCGAATAATTTATCAGTAAACAGCTGCCGCAGCAGCAACAGATTCGTATATGTATTGCACACGTGTATTAAAAGCTCCCCGATCGTTATCTCTTTCTCTATTTCAACAGGAGAGAGAATCTCGAGCCGAGTCGCCAATGTTGTTGTTGTTCTTCTTCTTGTCGTCGTAGTCGTGTTTGCAGTTTTCAAAGCTGGTTAAGAAGACATTCAGGCTGCAGCAATTGACACGCGTTCGGCGAGCTTTCTTTCTTTTCCTCGAGCGACGAACCACGAGACAAGACAGCCGATTATAATGCGACATTCTCTCTCTCTCTCTCCTCTCCTCTTCTCGCTTTTACTGCTGCTCGTGCTCATCTTATATGTAGCCAGCAATTTTATCCGCCAATTTCGCTGCGCGCGCACGCGCTTGCACTTTTTTTCTCTCTCTCTCTCTCACTCGAAACATACATAAACACATTAGTGGAGAGTGGGAAGAAGAAATGTTGTCTTTTTTTATTATTTTTCATCTTTCTTTGTGATGTGCTTGTAAAAATACGTCACGGTAAAACTCGCTTTTCACGCGGTAGCAGCGTGGCAGGCAGGCAGGCAGCAGTGAGCAGAGGCGCGAAATAACACAGCGGCAGAAAAAAGC